GTTTTGTGGTGAATTCCCCCACCCACCCACCCAAATTGCCCTCCTTCCATCCTACTAGGAGGGCCCACGTTTTCTAACTAGGCCTACCTATAATTTATGAGGAAAAAACCAAACAAAAGAGTGCCCTGCCCATGCATCTACCTTGCTGCTGCTTCCCCTCTTGCCTGTGTGAGCTGATACACGCGCACACGTGCAAAAACACTCCCAAAGTTCCCTGCTACTTTTCTTTTCTGCAACGGATTTCCTGGCTTCTCCCTCTCTTTTTCCCTTTAATCACCTGCAGCTGCAATAGTCACCGGTTGGGAACAGGATTATGGGTCTGTGCCTCAGCATGCAGCGAAACTGTGGGTAATATGCAGCATCTATTTTTGAACACTAGTAACACCCCCGCTAACCTGCCGCAGATGCTTTATCCCACACCGATACAGATATATTACATGCCTCTGTGCTTTTAGTTTAACAGCGCAATATAAATACCTGCAGGGCACGAATCTAATTGCTTTTGTTGCAGTTGATGAAGATAACTGCACACTGCCTGCGCTTTCCTTGCCAGCTCCTTAACTTCCACCGAAACTCATTTACAATGTCACAAATTAACATAGTCGTCAGCCACGTTTCCAATGAGGCTCAGTGGGGGTAAGGCTGCTCCAAATGGCACCGTTTGTCTTGGTGCTAATGTGCCGGCAGAAGGACGGAAGTGGGGAAAGGCTGTGCAGGGGCGGAGGTAGGGTGTGCAGCCCGGCTCCAGGAACCTTGTAGCAGGCCTGGATATTGGCTTGATGCTGCTTTGTGTTTTCTAGCCTGGCTTTTTGGTTTAGCTGTTTTTCCTTTAGCTGTTCTATACCATGTTTCTGTCAACAAAAATTGCCTTTAAAGAATAGAAAGGGAAAGCCCCCCGGAGCTCCTTGCATGTATGAATATGGAAATGGTTCTCTTTTTACTTTTCTTATTTTCCCCTCCCAGCCAGGGAGCTGAAGTTACCCCTGGCCGTGGTGGAGCCGTGGTGCGTTCGCAGCACAGTACTCGGGACCCAGGGGGCCAGGAGCCCGAGACGAGGGGCGAGGGAGGGATGCCTGCAGCAGCGCAGCCTCCTGCCAGCCACCAAAGGAGGTGGTGGGAGGCGAACCCTGGCCCAAGGCTGTGCCAGCCCAGCCCGAGCTGTCCCGGGGACGCCCTGGCCTGCAGCTCGCAGCGCTGGCTGCGCCCCAGCGGACTGAAAGGGGTTTTTGCAAAGCGGTAAATCTTTGCAGGAATTTACCCCCAAGAATGGATCTGTGACCCAGGCCACGTGGCAGTGTTATCATCCAGCCCCAAATAACCCAATATCTGGCCTTGCAGGGACAGTCATACCATTGTTTTCAGGTTTCCCGGCTTAACTTGGCTCTTTTGGAGAGCTCAGGATGGGGGCCTTCTCTATCATCTAGCTACAAGGTATCTTTTCACTCAATTTTCCTGGAGTCAGCAATTCATAATTCTGCACAATGGGCTAACAGTGCATCCCCACAGCCCCAGTATCTTTATATTCATTTTAATAGAAGGTTGTCTTTTCGGCTGAGGCAAACCGATAGCAGATTTAACCCATTTTCCCTGGGGAAAGGCCTGCCCCCGACTGCTCCAGAAGATGAATGTTCCTCTTGAGCAGCACAGCCCGACCAAGCCCGTGGCCTCGTTGCCCCAGGCAGCCCCTCAGCAGGTGCTGCTTCCCCTGCCCGCGGCTCATCAGCCGGCGTGGCAGCTGTCTGCCCGGCCGTCGCGGAGAGCAAGGCTTGCTGGGGTCATTGACACCAGCTTTTTATTCCTTTCCTTATTATAATGCACAGCAAAGGAGAGAGAGGGAGACATTATGTGCCTCTGAAAAAGAAATTAACTCCGCTTTGAAACACGTCGCAAAACAAGAGAGAAAGACCCAAGAAAAATCCCCCAACTATAACCCAGGCTGTGCCGTGCTGCTCATTGCTAGATCTCTGTCCCCATATGGCTGAGAACATTTATAGTCATCTCTCTCCTCAGGGCTGTTTGAAGCACAGTAAATGGACTTGTTCAGTTTAATTGGAAGACTGGTAGTGATTGTATTTTTGTAACCTATTTGACTGCACTGCCTCTTGATCTAGGAGCTCACTCAAAGTTACATTCTGAAGTATGAGCGAGGGCCTCATTTCTACTCCCCCTTCATCTTGATTAAATAATGATTTGAAACAAAAAAGAGATAAATATATATCTTGGGTACCCCTGAGGGCAGCAGTAGGTCCCCCTGCTGAAAGCTGGAGGAAGCAAAGTTCACTGAGATTATTTAATTACTTATTAGAGAGGAGGAAAAAATCCAAGCGTTCACACAGAGCAAATTAGGTTCATAAAAGACCAGACTTTTTTAAAACACCCTAGAAAAATAAAAAGGCATTAAAATTCAATTGAACTCGCAATGTTTTCAGATGTGGCTCACGGTTTCCGTTTTGTGGGGCTGATGTGCCTTTCCGAAGCAGTAAAATGGAACGAGAAGCAAAGTCAAGGTCAGCAGAGGGGGAGTTTGCCTCCAAGCAGAGGTCTGAGTGAAGCTCCTTCAGCTTTCGTGCCCTTTGCAGGCTCAAGTGGTTCCTATCCTGGCTCTTGCCACAGGGCAGGAACCTCCCGTAGAGCCTGGTGACCACCAGCATAGGTGGGCTGGAAAGCTGCTTCCTTCCCTTAAGCACTAGCTTTGCCCAGGCCAGGCCTTCCAGCCCTCACGTGGGCTGTGTACTCCATATTTCACATATATCCACATGTTGCCTCTTCCCAGAGTGCAGCTAGCGCAGATGTTGGGCTAAAGAGGAGCTTGCTGGCTCTCAAATCATTTCATAGATGTGCTGCACTAAGAGCAGTTGCTGCTTTGAAAGGTAAATTTCAGCAAAGGCAAAGCAAGAGCATATATCCCAGGGGCAGTCTTAAGAGCTGTTTTAGAAATGGCAGGAACTGCTAGATTTAAAAAGGTCATCTTCCGTTTTAGACTGGAAGAAAGAAGTGAGGCATTTGCATGTGCCATAGTGTTGTCAGCATCCCTCTGAACAGCCAGACGTGCCCACTCCAGGGCTCTCCTACCTGTGCAGCCAGGGAGTACCTGTGGTGATGTTTTTATGCCCATAAGTAAAAGGTAGTCAGGAGCTGGCTACATCTTGGTTGTGGTTCAGATCCAAAGCAAACCATAAGCTATCTTCTAAAAAAATCTGGTGCCGCATTAGAAAATGCAAACAATCCTGTATCTTCTGAGATGTCGGTGGAGAGAGAACAGTGGTTCGAATCAAGGAGCTTAGTTCTCTCAGGGCACTAGATATGGTGTTAGGATTTCAGTAAGCATTGGTGGAAACTGGAGGAGAGCCAGGTACCTGTCTGTCTCATGCACTTTGACATCCCAGTTTCCACTGGAGTAAATAAGCGCTAGGATCCCTTCATTTCCCATGTCTCCTGCCAGGGCTCCTAGGGTCTCCAAGTCTAGGACTCTGAAAATGGCGTGGAGGTCAGTGTGGGATGGAGAGGAGGCCACGGAGCATCGCCAGTTCTAGCATGGATTTGCTGGGATGGTCTAATTCCTGTTCCTCTGTGACTTACCCAGACACAGCAATACTCCTATCTCTGGGGACGGTAGGAAGGTACTTGGAGATCCTCCAATTTGAAGTGTTTTCAGAGTGTGAGGGTGTTGTGGATGGTCCTCTGTGCAAGGAGGACCCGTTCTGTGTGCTGGCAGCTTTCTCTCGGAGCAGCTCCACTTTGGTTTCAGACATTGCTGGTTTCAGTGTGTGAATCTGAGTCAGACCTCCCTGACCCAGTTGATGCCTCTTGAATCGGGTCAAGAGCAACCCCACCCAAGGGACACATGTCAGATGCTAGAGGCCGGAGGGGGGATGTGAAAGCACCATCTGGTGGGATGGAGGAACTCCATATAGGTAGGATCTGGTCTTTGTCTATAGTCCCTCTGTGGATGAGGGAGAGAGTCCTGTCCCTGCGCCAGCTGGTGCCGCTGCCTTCTGTCCATGCCATCTAAGGCTAAGCCCTGGCCCTGTCCATGCTGTGAGACACCTGACACAGATCTCCTCTGCTGCCCGGAGACACAGCCAATGTCATGATGTGGATTTTCAGCTCAGGATACCCCAGATACTTGAGAGTGAGCCCCAGCTCCCCTGGGCGATGTTTGGAGAGCATGGCGCAGAGGGAGATCAGGCATCCCAGAACATGGCAGGAGGATGTGTGCAGGTGCTTGAGGGAGCTGGGCCTGCTGGTATAGTGTTGGAGGACTATCTGGAGTGGGGGAACCACACGTATCCGTGTCCACACTGCAAGGACCCTGAACCAAACCTTAGAGGTGCAAATTAGGAGACTGGAGCATTTCAGTGAATGAGGAGGAAGCCCCATGGAGAGCGCAGCTGTGTTGGGTCCAGGTTTGGTCTAACCTGCGACCCTATGGCATAGGCGTTAGCGTCGGTGTAGCCTCCCTGCCTTCCCTGCTGGTACCTTCCTGGACTGGCTCAGGCAGATACCAGTCAGTAAAAACTGAAGGGATAAACTACTCAAGTGAGGTAAATCCACCCCGGTGGTGCTTAGGTCCCCAAAGACAGCCCTGCCCGGGGCAGCCGAAGTGGATGTGTGGTCCTAGCCGGCCCCAGTTGGGATCTGCTGCCCGCCGAAACCCCGGTGAGGTATGGCTGAACACATCCTGGCAGCTAGTAGGAGCAGGGCTGTCCTCCCCATCCCCATAGCTCTCTAACTCATCACAGCGGGAGGATTTTTCCCTTCTCTTTATTTTTTCCCCTCACTTTACCTCCTTTGGTCACGTCCGTGTGTCTGTGGGCCATCATGAACCCAAAGGGGATTTAGAACAAGGTGCGACTTTTTGGCACAAGTAATCAGCCTCAAGAAACTGGCTGAACAGCCTAATTTAAAACAGAAGGACACAAAAGTGAATAATAAACGAGACAAGCAGACAAAAAGCAGTCGCGACATACATAGAGGAGTCAAGCAAACAGTTGGCAGTGTGGATTGAAGAGAGGGTTTATGTTTTTTTCTTGTAATTTGAGACTCTAATGATGGACTTATGTTGCCCGCTCTTCCTTTTTTCTTACACCTTACCTACTAAAGGAGGAGTTCTTGATGGGTAAGTGGATGCTATCCGCAAGACACCAGGGAATTTATTAGAGGTCACTTGAGCGCTTTAGCTATACCTTCTTCAGGGGGAAAAAAAGCACACAAAGAAATATCAGTATAATTTTTATTTCCAGAGGGAATTTTCTTTTTTCCCCTCCCCCTCCTTTTTTCTTTTTTTCTTTTTTTTTGTTTCAAAATGCTAAGCTTATTTGTTTGCCAGTTTTTACTTTGTACAGAAACCCTTGATTTTGTTTTATTTTTCATTATTCATTTTAGTGATATTCATTCAATTTCCTTATTAAGCAAGCTTAAAAAAAAGTCAGACTTACTTAGGATTTAGTTTTGTTTTTGTTTTCTTTCCAAGCAGTATGTAGTTTTTTGTATGTATATTCCTGTTTCTTTTTTTTCCCCCTCTTTCAGGTTAAATAAGGGCTTTTCCCTTCATTTTACCTCTTTTATTTAGTTAGTTAGTTATTTTGATTCTTTAGTTCCCCATTTACTTTGTTGAACTCTTTTGTTTTAACATGAATCGCATGCTGATACTCTTTGCATGATCTCTAAATCTTCCCGTTATTATAGCAGGGGGAAAAGAAGTTTCTGCTTACTGTGGATTTCTTTCAGGGATATGTGCTTTTGTTTTCTTCTTCTCTTTCTTCTTTTGCTTTCTTTCTTACTTTGTTTCTTTCTTTCCTTTTGTTTCAGTGCATCATGACGGTAAAATTTCTGGGTTTATTTAAAACAAATCAGACAAAATAAAACCAAAACCGACACCCCCAAAAAACATTCAAACAATGCCAAATGGCTTTTTTGCTTTCAGATCTCTCAGTCAGGGTCTTCTGCTGACCTCTTTACCAAAACAGACAGCCCGCTTGGCAACCTAGCCAGCCAGAATGGAGAGTATCATGAATATGACTCAGGAAACGATACTTCCTCCCCTCCCTCCACTCAAACGAGCTCCTCCAGGTCAAAGGACAGCCAGGAGAAAAGAAGTCTAGTCCATGATGGCTTTGGCCATGCCTTCTCGTCCGGGAAGCCCAAACTGGCCAACAGCGATAACAGCTCTGATTCAGGAAATTCCTTCACCAGTTGCTTTTCCCAGAGCAAGGGAACAGCTTTGGAAAATCTATCTCCAGATGCCCAGGGACAAGACCGAAGGTCAGTGATTACCAGTGGCTGCTACTGGCAGCCACATACCTGATACCTTGTTACTGGGATGGCTCTGTGTCTCCTGTCCAGTTGCCAGTCGCAGTGGTGAGCTTGTAGGAAGTTTTTTGTGGTCTGGATGCAGTTAGGCATAAATTAGACCATAAATCTTGCCAGTCTGGAGTCCAGAGCCTGGCAATGACTAATACTTCAGACTGAGAAGGAAAATGAAAACCCAGCCATCATGCCCCCAGGGATTGCGTCTGCCTGCTCTCCTGGCATTAGTGTGGCCAACATGGGATTTGGCCCTGGGCCAGGCTGTGTCCTGAACACAGCCCTGCTCAGCTGGTCATGATCTTGCAAAAGAAGAGAGTCATTTGCCCTTCTGGGAAAAGTCCAATATGGTAGACTGGGGGCTTGCCATATAACTTCCCTCCCTCTGCCTACTGTGGGAAAGGAGGGCAGGATTCATCTTCCCTAAAACCATTACAGGCTGTTTTTCCTCCTGTCCGTTGAGCCAAATCTAGTCTGTCCCTTCCTGGCTCATTCAGGACTGGTCCTGGGTGACAAGATGGCATTTTCTGCATGGGGGGAGCACAAGGAGAGACCAGTGCCTCACTGGCTTGGGATAACCCAGCAGCAGCTCTGTGCGCTGGGGTCACAGAGCATCAGGGCTGGGGGGCCGGGGACAGGAGCTAAACCACAGTCAGATGCTACAGGTCATCATCAAGAGAGAGGAGTAGATGCCAGCCTCCATCGCCTCCTCCCATTCCTGGAGGCGCTGGCCATTTGCCAGGTGCATACTGGGGATGAAGATACTGCAGCAAAGTAGCTGGTACCCAAGGCTATGCCTAAGGCTAGTGATGTTAGGGAGCTCTTCCAGCTCAGGCCCTGAGGTCTTAAATCCTGAAAGTTAGCATCAGGACGTGGTCTGGTGGTAGGAGTGCTGTATCAGAGAAGGGGAGAGGCAGAGGAATTGGCATTAAGAAGAACCGGCCCTGAATTTTCAGCTAGAGAGTAAAATTTTAGGGCCACAGATACCTTTCACGTTATGACTCCAGTGGGATAACTCTGCCTTCGCATGGGTAGATCTGGAATTGCATCTAGCCATTGCTTTTGGTAGGGTGGCTCATGGCTGGGCTAACCCCAGTTCAGAACCAGGGCACTTCTTTTGAAGTCGGAGGAATTCGTGCAGCCCTGTCCAAAGGCAATGGGACGAGCACACTCGGTTCCCGCCTGCGCCACTCCACGGCCAGGCCAGGATCACGTGTCTTTGCCCTGCCATGCTCTGCCTTATCCCCGCTCCAGGATTTCTCCCAACCTTGCTCCCCGCCCATGGGCCTGCACAGCTCACTGGCCTGGCCCACACTCTGCCGACCAGACACGTGTGCTGTGTCAGTCATGGAGCAGAAGCTGCTATCCTGCAGGACCTCAGAAGGCACCGATGCCATCTTAACCTTCTCCCACAGCCTTTCCCTGGCACAACCCTGGCGGGTGGCTCTTGTGCCACAACCCATGCAATGGGTTTCCTGCAATGGGAGCTTAGGAAGTTGGGAGGTTTTTTTATCCTCAGGTGGGGAGTGGGATGGTGGGAGTACTGTTAGCTGAAGTGTGGTGCTCTCCATGGCCAGGGACCGGTCCTAGCTCAACTACAGCCTCAGTGGCTATCCAAACATATGTTCACAGAGGGTGCTTGTCTCCGTGTCTTGGCTGCTCGGAGAAGAAGCGAAACTTCCTCCCGTCCCCAGCCCACAGCTCCCCACTGAGGCCGAGCTCCCGCAGCGAGTCATATGCCAGCACGGGCAGGTCCTCTCCTGGCTCCAGCCACTCCAGCCGCTCCCATTCCTCACACGGCGAGGCCTCCCCCAGGTACTCCCGAAGCAGATCCTGCTCTTCAGGGAAGAGGTAAGGTCCATTTAAGCAGCTATCCCTGTGACCCTGGGCAATGTCTAGCTCTTGCAAGCTGGCAGGCCCCTCAGGGAAGGGGGATAAGAATTTGGGAAGCCCAGGGATGTACACAGCTTGTGGTGAACTGCTTCCTCCAGAGCTGGGCTGAGAGCCTGAAAAGTGGGGCACCTCTTCCCCCATGAGCCCAGGTTCAGAGGAGTCTATTGCAGCCTCACCTCCAGGATCTTTAACCCTTTTCTGGCTCTTGTCTATCCCCAGGTCTTATTCACGTTCCCCCAGCTATTCCTCCAAGTCTTGCAAAAGAAGTCCTGGGAGCAGGAGTTCGAGGCCTCGTCGGAGCCCCAGTTACTCCCATTACAGCCCTGGCAGGTACAGCCATCTCCTCATGCAGTGTCTGGTGTCTCGTGCTTTCTGATTGCCTCCATCACTTGTTTGGACTCCAGCATACTTGCTGGTTTGTTCTGGCAGGCCTAAACTGCTCCCCCAGCTTCCCTTTGGGCAATTTTTTCTGGTAACATCTCTGCCACTTCCCCGCTGTGCTAGGGCATTCTGCCCTCCAGAGCAGCTCCTCCACGGAGCCGTGCAAGACTCGCAGAGGCCTGGCAAGCCAGCTCACGCTCCCCGCGTTGCCTGGCTGCTGAGGGCAAGCAACAGGATCTAATTCCCCCAGCTGCTGCTGGGCATGTTGTGAATGTTACACACTCTTAAAACGTTGTTGCATTCCCAAGGTCTGATTCTTGCAGGCTGTGACGGTCCCTGCACCAGTGTAGGCAGGTGTATTCCCTGTGTGCAAGGATAGGGCCCTTGAGCTGAAATGTGTTGCTTTACAGATGACGTTGAGCAAGGAAAGGGGTGTATGACGGGAACTACACTCCATGGAAGGGCCTGTGCTGACATGTACAGCAATTCAACAAAAGATAAAACCATAGCAACACTGGCACTCCTTACGAAGAGCTCTGCCGAGCCAGCCTACCCCTGGTAATGCTGCACAGCCTTGCTGGGATACCTGGGGCCTTCACCAATGTGGAGCCAGCTGGAAGGGTTGTTCTCACCCCCTTTCGTAGCACAGCTAGCAAGAGCAATTGTAGTGGAGCTGTGGAAATACAGAGCGCGTCCATAGAGATAGGTACATGGAAACCACGTTAGCTTGGCAGCACAGAGCCACGGGGAGACACTGCTGGGAACCTCCAGCCCACAATTAGCAGATGCCCATCTGTTAGGCTAGATGAGTGTCCCTCTGTCCAGTGGGTGTGCGCTGGGCTAATGCCACCAGAATATTTAGCTTAGAGTAGATCCTGTTTGGAGCTGAGTGTCCTGCACTCACCTGTCCCTGCATGGGTATTTGCACCTGTGTTCAAAACCCACCCAGCCAATTGCAGTCACAAGAACCCCGCAGTGACAGTTTCCAAACCGGTTCTTCCTTAGAGACCGTGAGAGAGAGCACAAGTATGGCTCTAGTGAGAAGGAGTCGCACAGGGAGCGTGATCGGAGGCGGCGACGGAGGTCCTATTCACCCCTGAGGAAACGCAGGAGAGATTCTCCTAGCCACCTTGAAGCTCGGCGCATCACAAGGTAAGGGGATGCAGTCCTGTCCCTTGGAGACAAGCTGAGCCATAACTCCCTGGGAGGACGTGGGATCTTCTTTGGTCCCAGCCCTCACCAGAGGAGGTTGCTCTCCCAGCTCGAGGAGGAGACCGGTTTCCTGGAGCCAGATCAGCATGCCTTTCTGCCCCTCCAAGGACTTGGCATTTTGCTGACAGAGGCAAAGGGAGGCAGAGGCTCTCATCTACAGCAGCTGAAGAAATAAAGCAGATGAAGTCAGAGCAGGGACTGACCCACCAGATACTGGGTGGATCCCCCCCCAGACTTTCCATAGAGGACTTCCATTGTGATAGATCTCCCGCAAAGAAGAAGGAATCAAATATTGAGTGACAGAAGGCCTTGAACTTTTTTTCTCACCGTCCAGGTGATTTCTCTAGCCCTCCAGCTGAGGGCTCTTTAGGACAGTGTCAGACCATTCCAAGCAGAGACCATGAGAGAGCCTGACCTCATACATGGTGCTTGGGACCTTTCCCAGGGCCTTGAAGGTGGGCAGTCTGAATCCCAAGGCCTATCAGCTATCCTAGTCTCCTCCCTTTTTGGGAGATGTTGTGCAGAATAGTGCTTTTTGGAGAATTTGGCAGTAAATCTATCCTTGTGTTACTAGTAACACACCTCTCTTTGTGTCCCCACAGTGCCCGCAAACGCCCCATCCCCTACTATCGGCCCAGTCCGTCCTCCTCCAGTAGCGCCAGCAGCTATTCCTCTTGGTACAGCAGCTTTAGCCGCTCTCCGAGCCGGAGCCGGAGCTACTCCAGCTACCGGACGAGCCGGAGCCGAAGCTGGAGCAGCAGCAGTGACAACAGCAGGAGCCGCAGCCGGGCGGCAAAAAACCACCAGCCTCCGTCGCTAGGGAGTGCCGGCGGCAGCGGCTCACACGCCGATGTTGTCGCTAAATTCCTGGCTTTCTCTACTTCCTTCCCACCTACCTGGCCATCGATAACAATCATCCCCGATACCGATGTGGTGGCAGTGGCAGGTCCCCCTTGCACAGTTCAGAGTAAGAGCCCTCGTGTACCTGACGCGGTGCAACCCCAGAAGCAGGCAGGGACCTTCGTGGCCTTGCAGAGCATGGGGGGTACGTCTCAGCTCCCCGGGCCAGGGCCAGAAAGAGGGTCAGGGCTTTATAGAGGGTCTCTAATGACAGACCTACTCCATCCACCCCATCATCACCTCTTCCATGCCGCTCTCCAAGCGCTAGCAGTTGGTCCAAAAGAGAGAATTTAGTTGCTTGCTTTTCTCCTGCCAAACCAAGAGCCAGCAAAGTAATTTATGTTGCAGGGAGAGTCACAGTTAGGGAGGAATTGGCTGGAAGGCTTTGGTGATGAGTGGGGGTGATCCTGTCCCCACTAAGGCAAATACCAGGGCCCTTGGGTCTCTCCTGCAGAATTTCTCCCCACTCTGCAGCAGGCCTCTTCCACGAGAGAATATTTATTTGTTGCCAGTCAGCCTGCCCCTGCTATAAATAGAAGGCTAGAAATCCCTCCTGACATAATTCCTGGAGAAAAGGAAGTCCTGCCCCTGCTTTCTCCTGTCCTTTCCTCCCAGGCGTGGATTCATTTCTCACAGGGTCGTGTTTTAATCCCCTCCCAGCACTGTGACTTGCTCATGAGCATGCTGCAGAGGTCTGACGCAGACACGGGGCCAGGGGGTGCAGAGGGAGCGGGGAGCCGGCACCACCCGGCGCTCTGAGGGGCAGGCGCAGCGCAGGATGCAGGAGTCGTGGCGCTTAGCTTGGGATTGCTGTCTTGGAGGACCCCTCTTGCAATTGGGGGTGTTTGGGGTATTTCTAAGGGGGTCCTTGCTGGGGACCTGTGCACGGCTGGTGGGACTGTAGGGAGATACGGATGCTGGGTTAATTCCAGTAAGATACACTAGCTGAGGGGTATAGCATGAGCAACACGGTGCCTTTGTCTGCAGTGGCAGCACAGGGGGCTGCCCCGCCGCCCCTACCCCGGAGGGCACAGATGGTGCAAGCTCCCCGTCCTGTCCCAGGCAGGCCAGCAGCACGCAGCACCCCGCTCGCGGGCAAAGCCATCGTGCCCTGTGTTTATGCTGATCGGCACAAAGGCAGAGGGGCATCCCTGGGGCTGAGGCCACCCCATCACAGGGCAGGTTGGTCCTCTGTGGCCTTTACGCTGCTGCGGCAGGGCCCAGCAGGAGCCGGGCGAGAGCCACTTTGGCCAGCCAGAGCGCACAGGGTTAAGAGCGCATTGCATGAGCCAGGGGATCTCAACTCCCCTTTCTCATAACAGGCAGCAATTTTAAGCAGCCCCAGGAGGATTTCAGGAAATCATTTCTCCTTGAGGCTGTCAGGCTCTTCTTGAAGGCAGGATTAGCAGGCGCAGCAGCCCTGGCGCTCCCTCCCCTTCCCCCTGTATAAGGCATGGGGACATTTGCCATCCCTTGCGCTGCACGTGGCCGGAAGGACTCCGCTCTCGGCTGCGGCCGCGGGGTTATCGAGCGCTCCCTCAGCTCCTCCTGGTGCTCTTCCCCTGGCTGCAGAGCTGCGGCGGGGAGCACCTGCGCTCCTGGTTTATCGGTGGGAGGATGGCACAGAGCAGGGGTCTCTGCTAATTCCCCATTTTTCCGAGGAGCCGCTGGCAGTTGGCGGCAGGAGGGCTCTGCTGGGCTCCAGGGCCCTGGGCCCCACGTTTTTGTCTCCCTGCCAGAGTTGCCAGCCCAGCTGGCTGGGCAATTACTGTGTTTTGCAGGGAAACAAAGGCTTCTCCCAGCGCAGGCTGAGCTGGTGCTGAGGAGTTTCTTTCTCTTACAACACCTGGGTGCTTAGAGAAGCTAATTTGGGATTAAGCCTGCCCTCCCTCCCTTTTCCCATCCCCTCCCCTTCCATCCGGCATGCTTATTAACGAGCTGGAGTTAATGAGTCAAGGAGGTGTGTCCTTTAAGTGTCACAGAAAAGGGCTAAGTGGAGACAGCATCTGCTAGAGGAGAAGGAGGGGGATGGATACAGAGTTGCAAACTTGCCAGCTACAGCGCTACCTGCAGCCCCGGGCCTGCTGGCACAGGTAAACGGGCCAAGCCCTTGGTGGAGGAAGGCCAGGTGCAGTGTGTTGTTCTCATGGATCTGAATTACCCTCTTATTAAGCCTATAAACCCATGTTATCTGTTAGCAAGCACAGCAGTGTGGGTTATATGTGTACCTGGGCAGTGCAAGAGGCAGTTTTATGCAGGGGGGTCCCTCTCTGCCAGTAGCCTTCCCCTGCTGATCCCCTCGGCCTGTGCCTTCAACCCCGAGAGCCCCCCTCTTCTCCAGGCTCATCCCCCTGCCACGCTCTGTGCAGGTGATTTGGGGTTGGGGGTAGTGGAGGTGAAATGTTGCTGCGTGCCTGTACCCACATAGCATAGCTAAGGGCTGCTGTCGAGGTCGGTGGCTTGGTGGGGCCACGTGGCCCTCTCCCCAGAGGCCACCCTCCCAGACACAGAAAACGGTGTTTGTGGCAGGGCTGAGCAAGCCCATCAGGGCTGTGACTGAGGGCTCAAAAGTGGGTGCTCGCTGTGTTGTGAGGTGCTGGTATAGGCAGCAGCGGGGAGAGCGGTGGGGTGCTGGCGGCCCGGCCCTCGGGCCGGGTGCCCTGGGCACCCCGCTGCTGGCAGACTTCTGCAGCAAGCTCCCTTCTCTGAAAAGGGCTGAAAACCTTGTGCTTCTTCCCCAAAGAGTCTTTCCCAGCTTGATCTCCAAACACCCTGTCCTTCCGCTCCCTGAGGAGACTTGATCACACTGACTGGAGACCAAAACCCAAGCCCCAAATCTAGCGATTTTACAGGAGTAGCTTTGTGCCCATTAGTACCCCCTGACACACACGCGCATCTGTAGCAATGAAACAGAGAGCCAGGTGGAGAAAAGAAAAGAGAAAAGACAAGAGAAGAGGCTTTGTGCAACTGGTGTAAATATCAAGACATAGCGTTGAGCTGAGTCCCCTGTTGATGGGGACAGGCGAACAAAGCACCACAACAAGGGGAGCAGCGTACATCGATCACGGGAAAGGAGCTGGCTCTGAGGGTGGCGCTGGGCTTACAGCAGCTCCGTACCAGGCCTGCTGATCCACGCTTCAAGGACTGCCTCCGATCGTACAGCCCATGGCAGCTAAACTCTCCTGGGGTTTCCCGATCAGACTTGTATTGGAGTAAACCTCTTAAATTATTTATTTATTATTATTATTATTCTATTTTTAATTGTATGTCAGAATGGATGCAGGTGGTCACCGTTAACAGTATTTATTTATTCTATTTTTGGGGGAACAATAACTTATTTTTGGATCTGTTTGTTTGTTTGAATGTATCCATGTCACTGTTCATGCCTAAAGGTTTACAACATTGGCCTGTGAATGGCGTGAGCCCTGTGTCTCTGGGGAAGGTGGCTGGAGAAGGGACAGTAGCTCCTGGTACAGCTTGTGGCAGGGCACTGCTGTGAATGTGTCTGTTTAGTTGTGCTCCCCAGAGCAAGGTGGAAAGTGTGTGATGGCCCAAAGGATGCAAGGGAGAGGGTTTTTGTTGTTGTTTGTTTGTTTTTCCTGTTAAAGATCTAGGGTTTGTCATTAGATTTGTACTAGAAACCGATGGCTGTGAACAGAGGTTCTAGGATCTCGTAGAGGATGCGGCAGGAGCCCTGCTGCTTCCTCTGCCTTTCTCGTGAGCGGACGAGCGAAGGGGATTTGCAGCACTGCAAAGGGAAGTCTTGCCCCGGCCCGCGCTCATGGTAGCGCTGTACGGGTGCCAGTTGGCTGGTGCCGCTGTTTCCCTTGGCTCCTCAAGCCAGAGCACAACATGAAACTGAGCTCCTCCGAAAGGCGCTGCTGGTTTCCCTGGGAGGATGCCGTCGCTAGGACTTCCCTGTGTTTGTTATGGAAGGACGACCCACCCATGAAAACCTGAAGATACGAGAACGTGGGAGAACAATGCGTCCTGGAAATGCTTGCAAAATCAAATCTCCAGTGACAGGACCTAACCAACTCTCTGTGTGTGCGTGTGTGTATAGGTATATGTATAGGAGTGTGTATATATGTATATGTGCATGTTTATAAGTGCATATACATATATACATATTTCCCTCAGTGGTGGTATTTATCTCTTTATTTTATAACTTATTTAAAATTTTCAGTGCGATCTAAAACATCGTCCTCCCTGTCAGCTGACAACTGGGTTTTCTGTCAGTTTGCGAGAAGCCCGTGGGCTTTTCTGTCTCTGTGCCTTTTGCCAGTGCTTTTTTTTTTTTTCCTTCTTATTCTTTTTTTTAATGCTGTTTCACTCATTCATTGCTTTTAAGGAATTTTTGCTCTACATCCGGCATTTTAGATTGCTGCTGCCGCTCTCCACAAGGAGCAGCTTTCCTCCGGTGGAAATGCGATGTGCTCATTTCAGTGTAGGCAAGTCGCTGCTAACCTGAGGCTGGCCAGCTGCTCCTGAGTGCAAGGGATGCCCAGGGACATCTGCAACCTCACTGAGAGTAAATGGGCTTTTCTGTCTCTGTGCCTTTTGCCAGTGCTTTTTTTTTTTTCCTTCTTATTCTTTTTTTTAATGCTGTTTCACTCATTCATTGCTTTTAAGGAATTTTTGCTCTACATCCGGCATTTTAGATTGCTGCTGCCGCTCTCCACAAGGAGCAGCTTTCCTCCGGTGGAAATGCGATGTGCTCATTTCAGTGTAGGCAAGTCGCTGCTAACCTGAGGCTGGCCAGCTGCTCCTGAGTGCAAGGGATGCCCAGGGACATCTGCAACCTCACTGAGAGTAAAAAGGCTTCAGGAAAACATCTCGGCTGTCTTTTGGGAGTGCTGTCTCGGAGGTTTTTTCTTTCCTCGTTCATGAGGACTCTTTCCTGCCCACAGTCTTGTTTCTATCCCCCGAATTGTCCTGGTTGCCTTTCCGCGGTGGAGCATGAAACCCAGCGCTCCCAATGGAGCTGAGCCGTGCTGTGTCGGGTGTTGCTCTCCTGGCTGCCAGGCACTGCAGAGATGGTCATTCAGCTTCAAATATCCCCCAGGAAACTGGAATCACTGGGGCCGTGCTCCCCGCTCGCTGGACCCTACCTTGTCCTGCTACCTGAGTGAGGCTAGTTTCCCCGCTCCCAAACCAAGCTTTGAGGCCAGGCTCCAGCAAACCCAGCACAGTCTCTGCAGTTTTGCTGAAAAGCAAGGATAAGGGATGTTTCCAAGCACTGTTGTGTACTTCTTTTCTTCAAGGGTTACAGCACTTGGTTGTTCTTTACTTTATGCTGATTGCAACTTTTTTCCATGTTGTTTATTGTTTTGGGGGACTTAAGTTGTACCAAACTGTTGTCTGCAATAGCCAATCAATGTTATTTTGCTATGCATTGTACATATATTGAAAAGGCTGAGAGGACTTAGCCTGTTATTTAATATTTATTTCTTTTATTTATTGAGCATTACTTAAAGCTGTTTGGGTCTTGCCACTGGGTCCATGAAGATAGGAGCCTTTCATACAAAGTGAGGTGTTGCCATATATGTTGGAGAGAGGTGATCCGAGAGGCGTCTGCCAGAATGGAGGCATCCGGCAGGCAAATGAGGCTTACATGGAGCTCAACCACCAGTAGTTTAGGGAGAAACCTCATTTAGATGGAGGATTTTCTCTGCTCTGTTCATTTCCGTCTCTTTGCACCAGTTTCTGTTAACAGATGGCAGTTCCTTGGAAAGGCGCTAGATGTTTGGAAGCGACAGGCCAGCCTGCACCTGAGGTGCTGATGGAGAGCATGAACTTGCTCTTCATCTTCCGTGCTGTAAAGCATGACCTGGCTCACCAAAGATCCCTGGAGATCTCTGATCTCTCCCCACTGATCCCCTCGTGGCTCTTGGTGGTTATTGTGGGGAAAGGGGAGGATTACTGCCCCTTCATCAGTGCAAGGAATTGCTCAGGGTAGGCACAGCGGCTTGCCTTAGTCACACAGCACAGCTGTGTGTCTACCAGGCACTGAAGCAAGGCCTCAGGATGTCCACCCCGCTGCGTTCTGGAGCCACTCTTCCTTGTGTTGTGCCCTGCTTTGCTTCCTTCCCAGAGCTCGGCGCTAGAAGCAGGAGCTTTCCCCACAAGTGAGCTCAGGGAAGGTGGCTGGGCCAGGGGAAGCCTACAGTAAACAGGAGCTTTCCTCAGGCTTCCTCACCCTGGTTTGAAACAAAGCATGGGACACGCTAGAAAATGTGAGCTGTTTCAATGTAACTCCTCCAAAACCATGGTTGACACCCTGACAGCTGGAGTGGGACATGCTTGGCCCTTCCAGGCCGGGTGCCTGAGGTTCAGCTCCCTTTGGGCGCTTGGCAAGTGGCCAGAGCAGCGAGTGTACTGAGCTCCTGCTGGGTCGCTGCCAGGAGGTGTGGGCCTCCTGGGCAATCAGGCTATTCATTTGAGCAAGAGGTGGATTTAGGTGCCTAACTGAAGACTTTGCCCTTTAGCGTCCAATGGGTTTTATTACTTCTTTACTAGAGAATAAATAATTTCTATGACTTTCGCTGCTACCTGGAGGTTTGCACATGACCAGGAGGCTCTCAGAAGTGCTGTTGTACTCAAAGCTTTGTCTTAAAATGTCCTGCTTGGCTTCTTGGGAGACAGCAGGTGGTTTTCTCAAAGTCCTTAGTTACTGGTGCCCCAGAGGTCTGGGGCACCGAATCTCATGTTGGAAAGCTGAGTTGCTGACTTCTGGGCTATTCCTCAGAGAACAACATCCTGAACCTCTTGGCCCAGGATCCTCAGGGCCCCCGTGGCAGGTCTCCATGTGCGAACACCAGGAAGCGGGAAGTCTTAGAATGAAGTACAGGAGAAAAGCCGCTAGGGAAACAGTGTCTCTGTTCTTCTTGCTTGTTGGTCAATTCCTTACCAAATTATACCGGCCCATCTGTTCATTTGACTTCATTGTAAAACTACCTTTGATCTCCATTGAAATGCATACTGTATTCTTTAGTCTTCCTGAGGTATTTAAGTTGTTAGCCTGTTTAGAAAAAAGGGTCCCAATAAAAGTTCAGACAGTATGTAGTTCTCACTGCAACCTGGTCTGTCCTGTTCCTTTTGGATACGCTTGAGCGCAGCGGGATATTTTGGGCAGCTTCAGCCGCTGCGGTAGCCAAAGGCATCTGCCTCCGGTCTTGGCTGCCCAGGGCCGGGCCCCCA